CCATGTGTTTGTTACTTTGTTTGGTATACGAACCAGATGGGGAAATATGTTCAGTTAGATTCGTAAACCAATCTAGTCAAGAAAAATTATCCTCCAGGAACAGGGAGATCTGTTACAGGCATAATGTTTTCTTCTAAACTTTTTTGATACTTCAATGAATCCTTCTTGCCTTCCATACACTGCAGGTTTCCAGTGCCAGGGCATAACAGAGCCACCACCATGCTTAACTGTAGACAGATTGTTCTTTTCAGCATATGCTTTATTGATCTTCCTCCAAACATACTGTTGATCCATTGAGCCAAAAGGTTTGGTTTCATCGCCGCACAGAGCAGAATCCCAAAACTTTTGTGGCATATTTATATGATTTTGAGCATATTGGTGCTGATATTCTTGTGCTTTTCGGTCAGTAGTGATGTACGTTTTGGATTTCTGGCATGGAAATCTTCTGTGTTTAGTATATGCCTTACTGTGTGCACTGAAACCTTAGTGCCTGTTGCCACCAAGTATTAAGGTAATTTGCAGTCATTCAAGGGTTTTTCACAATCTGCCTGCTCAGAAATCTGGTTGCAGCCATTGATAGCTTCCTTTTTCTGCCAGCACCTATACTTGAATGTTTGACCAACGATCACCATTGTTCGTTATAACTAGATCCAGACAAGCATTCTTTCTAGTTGATGCTTCTTACTATTGTACTATGAGAGATTCAAAAACCTGATTTCCCTAGCTGAAAAACTACTCCTCTTATGCCAATTTATGTCAAGGTAAATTGAATCTCAAATAATGGATTTGCAGCGTATCTTATTTATTCTAAGAGATGTTTTTTTACTTATCAATATCAACATTGGGTGGTTTATAACATATTCCAACCATATTCAGTAAAGGAAGAGACTATATTTAAAAGAAGAAAAACTACCACAACAAGAGGGAAGTGTCTTAAATTAGTGGGACAAAGGGTTAAAAATAATATCAGGAAGTATTACTTTACTGAGAGGGTAGTGAATGTATTAAATAGCCTTCCAGCTGAAGTGGTAGAGGTTAACACAGTAAAGGAGCTTAAATGACCACTCTAGGCACCCAGACCACTCCAGCTTAATGAATTGGTCTGGGTGCCATGTCCTTCTAGGGTTAACCCATTTTTTTTATAAACATAGCAGTTTCAGAGAAACTGCTATGTTTATTAATGGGTTAAGCCTTCCCCCTAAACCTCTAGTGGCTGTCTCATTGACAGCCACTAGAGGCGCTTGCGTGCTTCTCACTGTGATTTTCACAGTGAGAGCACGCCAGCGTCCATAGGAAAGCATTATGAATGCTTTCCTATGTGACCGGCTGAATGCGCGCGCAGCTCTTGCCGCGCGTGCGCATTCAGCCGACGGGGCGGAACGGAGGAGGATCGGAGGAGGAGAGCTCCCCGCCCAGCGCTGGAAAAAGGTAAGTTTTTCCCCCTTTCCCCCTTCCAGAGACGGGCGGGAGGGGGTCCCTGAGGGTGGGGGCACCCTCAGGGCACTATAGTGCCAGGAAAACGAGTATGTTTTCCTGGCACTATAGTGGTCCTTTAAGCATTCATGGGATAGGCATAAGTATTCTGGACCGGCTGCAGAGGCTATGAATGTGTTTTTCAGGAGCACATGGCGCTCATTGCCCTGATGAGATTATCCATACCAAATCACCTTCCCAGATAGTTTACTCAGTCACAACTCACATGTAAGAAGATCTGGCGGTGTTTATTCGTCATATGATCTGTAGAATGTGCAGTTACGACAGGTAAAAGAACATACAGGATAGCAGAGAAACAAGTCACATATGAATGTACAGCATAGAATACACTAGAACAAAAAAAAGGGGAGGGGAGTAACTGGAGCAGCATGCAAACTATGGAGTGGCCCAAGGGACAAACTTAAGATGAACATTAAAGAAACAGTAAATTATAATAAAACAATGTTATGTAACATGACACTCCCCGCCTGAAATCTTTAGATTTGAAAGCCTATATATATGTATATAAAGATAAGTCCAAATGTCTAAAAGTCCAACTTGAACCTGTAAGTGAAGAAAACATTGGAAATAATACTGGTGTGTAGACCATAAATATGAGATACCTGCAAAACAAAGAAGGTATGCAGTAAATGAACAATAAAACATGAAGTCCAAATAACAGATGGCTAAAGTCTTATAGTCTGCAGTTTATAGCCGTGGAGCTTCAACAGTGGGATAGTTAACAGTTATAGTGTCGTTCTCCCCGCCATAGCACCGTACCGCCTGGTACTCTTGCATAAGTCACTCACTTGGGAGAAGAAGTACCAATTCTTAGGTAACATCAGTGGAAATTGAGTAGGGGTTTTCGTGAAGAAACCTTGGAGGCGTCAGCCGCAAGCAGCCATGGAGAGCTGCTGGGGATATAGGTCTTGTCCCATAATCAGCAGGATTAAGGTCAGTGGGAATATAATGCCTTGGCAGAGAGAACATTCTGATACATTCTACTCGATTACTGACGTACA